TATATATATATATATATATATATATATATATATATATACACATTATAATAAGAAAGAACACTTAGCCAAATAATCGTAGATTTATATCGCAATAGTGATGAATATTAAAATTGCAGATGAACCGTATGAAAAACTCTTATTTTATTTTTAAAAAATAACGCCTTGGACATTCAACTGTTATTATATTTTCATATTCTAATATCCTTTTTTACTAAAACTTACAAAAGTCAAGAAAATTATAATAGCGAGAAGATAAGTTGTATTTTAAATGTACATAACCAAAACACACGTGTTATAGAATATTTTGTTATCTTTCACAAGGATAGATTTCGTAGAAAAATAGAAAAGTACCTAAAGAGAAGAGGTAAGGAAAAAATTTCTTTTTCCTTTCCCTTTCTTCATGATACAAAATAAAATATAAGTATATCTTTTTTAGGAACTGAAACTATCGTCATTTTTGTGCAAAAAGTTCAATGGCCCGGTACACCAAAAGCAAAACATCCCGATATTACTTATCTCCCTTAAATTCCTGACATGGAAATCAAGTAACCAGTAGCAGCAGTGCTTCTCAATTCAAATATAAACGCGAACATATTTCGTACGTGCTAGTCGTGCTTCTACAACTATAAATATTATATATAATTTACACATTTTTTTCATAAAGATTTTATTCATAACAGACATATATATTAAAAGCTTACTTAATTACTTAATATAAAAGTCAAACGTAGAGATCAACTATTTTAGATAGTTACCAAAAAAGTAGAACATTTATAAAAAGACCGAGAATTATACATAACTTTATATGTATTGTATAAATTTAATAATTATATATAAAATTTAGAAATTATTTATTGATAAATGATTTTTGATATTTTTTCTTTTCTAAAAACGCCTATATCAAAAGTTTTGTTTCTAACGCGGATTAATACACGAGAGAACACCCATGGACTGTTATCAGTTTGAAAAATGTTAAGATTAAAATGAGTGATTTTGTCTCACGAGATTCGCGTTATAATTAAATCGTATTCTCCCGTTTGAGAGCCTCTTGGTTTACAGTTATATCAGCAATATTGTGGGTACAGCAGGGAACTGTTTCAGCCTGGTCGCATCAGCAAGGTCATGTGAGTGCAACCTCTGATCAGGTACTCACATTCAGTACACCAGTGAGATCTGAGCCGTGCATTCACAGTAAACATTGCATAAGAGATTGTCAACGGAAATCGTTAAATCACCGGAGGGTCTTAATATAATAATACAACATCACGATACCTCTAGTGAAGTGTATTTCATTTTAATTATAGTGCAGAGGGCAGTGCGGTTTTTAATTCTAACAGGAAAACCCGATACGCGGTAAATTAAAATTGAATCATTACGAGAAGATGCGTTAATATTTAATGTATTGTAGAGAGAATTTGTATTATAAAATTATATATTTGTATGCACGTATGGTTGTATATTTATTACAAATATTTATAAATATATATATATATNATATTAACTTCGAATTAATTTCTACTCTTTTATGAACATGTTCACAGTTAATTTAAAATATACGCTATGCTAATACTTTATTAGTTTTGTGGTCATTGTCCCGATCGGAATATATTTTAGAAAATATCAGTGCAATAGTGAAAAACAATATTTGATTGCAGAAGATGTAGAGAGTATGACAGGCGAGATAGAAAATGGAGATTTGGCAGTACGAGACGTCGCAGATCTCCTCCAGGCGCAATACGCTATTATCGCTGGTAAATATTCTCAGTTACATATCGATTTCTGATAAGACGAATATTTTTAAACGCCTCCTCTTAGAAAAAAACGTTTCCTTCTCAGGAGGAAAAACACGAGAGGGTTGTCCTATAATCACGTTTCCGGACAATGGCAATTTTCATAACTTGACCGATTTGGATTACCAGCGTCTCATGCTCTACCTTACTTCTGTGCCGACGTAAGAATATACTTTATATTATTATATGTTATTATTAAGGGGATGCCATATTTTCTCTTGAAAAATTTATCAGCATAATATTGACTTCTTTCTGCAAAATTTACCCGATTTTCCCGAAACTTTAAAACTATAATTTTTATAACCCTTTAGTTAAATTTAAAGTTCTAAAAAAAGTACGAAAAGTTTGCAGAAAAATTTTTATATATCTTTGTTTGATTTTCCGTTAAGTATGATAAAACAGAGTAACATGTTTGCATATTATTGCATTCGCATTAATATCATTCTTACATAAGATCTATATATACGAGAAACATAAAAAGCCTGATCGCGTCAGTGTTTACGTAACATTTTGAGGATTGTCTCTACGTTATTGGCATTTATCGAATTCGTCGTCGACTTTGGCATTCCTTTAATAATATCTTTAAAATTTCAAATGAAAGAGAACAGAAATTATACATATATACATATATATAATATATATAGGAGAAAAGAACCAGATGTTGTGGATTGTATGTGAAATTGTACATAAAATTACACGTACATAAATTGTACGTAACAAAATTAAAATAATACCTTTCTTCAACTAATTTAATCGGTGTTTAGGTTGCAAGAAGCTGATCTCGGCTTTCATTTGATAATCGACCGAAGGAACGACAAGTGGAATTCGGTGAAGACGGTCCTCTTAAAAATATCCGTAAGTACGAATGAACGAATGTGTTGCGACCGTCGACGTTGTTGTCTGCGAGTCACTCGATCACGGTTGATGATGTATCTCATCGCGAATCCTGTGTTTCTTTTTCAGGCTTTTTTCCCCGGTCTGGTGCACGTCGCATACGTGTTGCGACCCGCCGGGTTCTTACAGAAAGCCATTTCGGAGGTGTCAAATAAATTGTTCAGGGAGGACTTCAAGTTCAGGGTCATATTCCTGGCTAACGTCGCCGAGCTTCACGACTTCATCGAGAAGGATCAACTCACCGAGCCGCTAGGCGGCGACCTACCATATTGCCACCACACTTGGATACAGAATAGAATCGTGAGTCTACGATAAACGTGAAAAGGAGATTTAATATAGTTTTAGAATTTCGGGGGAAAGATCGTTTTTTCCCCATTTTTTCTCGGACTTTTTTTCCCTTGTCTTCTTTACGGAAAAAAGTAAGTGTAGCAGATTTTAACCGAACATATGTGAATTTTTTTAAAACAAATTTCTGTGTCCCTGTGACAGAACCTGAAGGAATCCTGCCGAAAAAATGGTTTTTCCTTCGAAACTTTAAAACTATAAGATTTAACGACATTGAACGCGTTAAATTAGAAATTAAATTAGAGATTAATTTTCACGTTTCTTCAACGAGTCCACGTGTGTGGTTTCTTTCGCAGAGCCTGGAAAAGTTCTCATCAATGACGCAGGACGTGTCTCTCGCATTGGATTCCTTCACGCGACGTCTCGCTGAAGTGGAATTCCCGAACAACACCATCGCCACGACCACGTTATTGTCGCAGCAGCAGGCCGAGTATAACGAGCTGAAGGAGGAGATACTTAGCGCTGCCAGGCACGGCGAAGCCCTCCTGGATAGCGTGCGCCAGTTGACCGGGAAAGGAACTGCTGACAGATTGGGCAATGTTGCCGCGGTAGAAAGGTAACGTGACGAGACGCAATAACTTAACGCGTTGGACAAAGTGATCGATTTGCTTTATGGCTTCGTGTTTTTTAAAGTTGATTTATGCATTACGAAGTAATATGTTCAGCGACTCGTATTGTACAGGGTCTATCGGATCAATGTGTGTCTTTAACGTGATAGATTCTATGGGACTTTGTAAAGCGAAAGTTCAAGTACAAAAATGTCGAAACAGGTTCTTACAGGCTCTTCATATTGACCTTTAAATTTTCAACATAACATATTTTGTAACTAAAGCAATTAAATTATTAAGCAATTAAAATCATTATCACTGACCATAAGATAACATGATAGAAAAATGATCCTCGAGGGACTATAATTCCTTTATTATGGTTTATACTTATAGCACTATAATTACAAATATCAAATAATTTTTTCTCAGTGCAGATTCACTCTTCAGCTTCGAAGATATTCACTTGACGATTCAGAATTGAGAATTCTCTTTACATGAATAAAAAATTACTCGAACCCAAGTGACTTCTTTTCGAGTGAAATTTCACTTTGAGTGAAATTTCACTTTCAATTTAAAATATAGTTATATGCTGATATGTTACTTTATAATTTTTTATAAAGTTTCCTTTCAATTTCAGATTACTCGTCCAGCTGGAGGAAACCGAGCGAACCTTCGACTTATTCTGGTCGCACCACAGCTCGCGTTTGCGACACTGCCTGGCTCTGAGGCAGTTCGAGCAAGATTTCCGAGAGTTGCAAGCGACGCTGGATCAACACTTGAAGACGGCGGAGGAAATGACGGAAGTCGGCGAGACGCAAGCGAGAGTAGAGCAATTGCTGTGTGACACCTCGGCTTTCCAGCGAATATGCAGAGTACGTAGCTTTTGGCGGCATTTTCACACAGAAAACACAACCGATTACAACTGTATATCGTCAGATCAGCATTCGATTATTTTTCCCGCAAGATGTCGAGCTGAAGTTTGCGAGCCAAACGGGGGCACTCTAATTTCCAAATGGTGTACCAGATAAATAATATCGCGGATTATAAAAAAAAAATTGCGTTCCACTCCACCACGCATAGAGAGTCAGTTCATGTGTCATTTTAATGTAAAGTTGTAGACCCATATACGAAGGTAATGTGATCACACGCGATGAATTGGCGGATTTCGCATTATTGAGGAGTCGAGTCTGAGAATGTACACGTCGCACTCAAAGCACCAAAATGCACCATTCAAACCAGTATGCTTTCATTCATATCATATATCTCGATCGAACATTCCTCTTGTCATGAAATAAATTCCGTGATAAAACGGCATGGATACGTGGCAATACAACTTAAACTTGCCGACATGTTCACGTTTATACACACACAATCAGCAGATTAAAGGTCGCAATATTTTTTCTTTAACGAGTGTCCCGTGTCCAGGGATTTTTTTTTTCTAAGTAATTTTCAGGAGATATTATTTCCCTATTTGATACGAGGTGCGTTACGAAACTCGTCGAAAATTAAATATATATATGATAAATAATCGAGACTCACGAGATTCGTTCATCGGGAGGTTGATTCCACCGCGTACGTTTGTCCGAAAAAATTGTCCTATGCGTACATCATTGCAATGTACATCATTAAAATGTATCCTCTTAATTTTAAATTAAAATGTCGCTACAACAGTCGCGATTGGCTCTTAAGGAGATTTTAAGGCGAAATAAATTTGATAAAACTCAGTAAAACTTGCACTACATATACAATGAAATATTATCCAAACTGCTCTTGCAGTTAGAAAGAGATTGACCGTTCGACAGCTGAGATATTTGCAATTAAAAGTAACAGTTGCAACTTTTTATTATACGCGCATTCCTTGTGTGTGTGATTAGCGTGCTATTTTTTATTTTCACTTTTATATTTTCTAAATTAAAAATTAGATTTTGATGAAAAACTACTATGATTACTATTAAGGACTAATGTACAAACATTATATACAAATTTCAGAATTATTAACCATTTTGTTCAGAAGATTCGGCGATATTAAGTCCATAATACAACAAATTTATAATAATACTCGAAATACAGAACATGTGTATATTTAAACACTTCTATACCTTTCTGTTATCTATGTATCTTTATTCAACTGATGCATAAATATGGCATTAATAAGAAAAAAATATATATTTTCGTATTATTTGTAATATCGTGTACATATATTTACTTCAACTTCGTTTCAAATTAACATTTATTATTCAGGTAGTGAAATTAATGTATAAGAACGTAATTTTGCTTGACAAATACTTTAAATTTATGAATAGCCCCCTTTGATGCGTTGATGCTGGGGGGGGGGGGGATAGATATGATGCCTTACAATCTTCTTAAAGGCCTGGTTCTATCTTTCCATGGTTAGTCACCAGCAGAGTCTATGCAAATACAAGCGTCGGAAAAAAAGTGTTGCAACTTTTAATCTACTGACTGTGTGTGTGTGTGTGTGTGTGTTTGTACGTATGTATGTAATACATGCCGTCTGAACATGCAAATTCTGGTTTGAACGTGATCACGAGCACAGCGACATATATAACGCACATCATGCACAAATGTTACTTTGCACCGCTTTCCTCATTTTGTCGATAGTCCTATTTGTTGCATACCATGTGGATTTGGGTCTTGGTAAGCACAGTCCACTTAACAAGATACATGTGTTCTATAGAGTTTACATTTTCCTATAAGACACATTGGCCGGTATATATCTTAGCATCTCACATATCTCTCAGTCTTATGATTATCGTGTTTGGAAGTGACATTAGAGGACGTTGCGTTTCAACAAGTTCTTTCGTAGGCGCTATTCATTAAATCTCTATTATGCGTTACGTATAATCCATAGCGTCTGGTTTCTTTTTTTTCTATATACATTATACATATATATTTATGTAATTTCTGTTTCTTTTCATTTGAAATGCTGCACGCGCATATGAGTGTCATCGTGTCTTGTCGAAATCGGTGGACATACCGGTGGAGACTCGATTCATGTCCGATAATGGCATGGTAAATTTTTTTGCGAATGACCATCGTTGTACAGGGAGGGGCAATAACCATGTTACCAGCTTCGAACATCTTCGAAAAATAAAGATATGTGGAGTTAACGACTAGATGAGGACGAAGAAAGTGTATATTTACAAATGCTCAAAGTAAAAGCCGTTGATATCAGTGCAATCAATTTCTGCTGGACTAATTTCTCCCTCCTCATATTTCGAAGATATTCAATAGTGGTAATAGTTGTTGCCTCACCCTGTACACACATATATGATTTCTCGCTCTGCATTGCACGCACGATAGTGTATTTCTTTTCACGGGCAGAGAAGCGATCCTTAGACGTTCCTTAGACTGGATTCTTGACGAGGCTAAGAAAAATGCCATGATTGTTCGTAGCACCTTCATCTCTCTCTCTCTCTCTCTCTCTCTCTCTCTCTTTCTTTTTCTCTCTCTCTCTCTTTATATATATATATATAGCGTCGATTTAAATCTCTATCGTGCATAAGTATAATTGTATCTGTTTATAGGGAGACATAGACCGCGCGGAGGAGGTGATATCCGCCGGTCAACAGCTATTGTCCGGCAGGCATCAGTGCCCGGCGGATGTTGTGGAGCCCAAGTGCGTGGAGCTGCAGAGAGTTTGCACGATTCTCAGTCAGAGACTGGAGAGACGACTGCACATGCTGACCAAGTGCAGAGAGCTCATGGAGCGTATAGACAAGGTACCGTTCATCTCGAAGCCTTTCGAAGGCGCACGAGTTTGCGCGAGTCGTCGAGTCTAATCTAATCCCTTTTTCGTCGATGCGAGCAGGCCAACACTTGGTGCACGCGAGGGATAGAATTGCTCGCGTCGCAGAACAGCACCACACCGCCGGATCAGGCGCTCCAGGAGCTGCAGCAGTTGATCGAGGCCGCGGAGGAGTTCCACCATCCCCGGTGTATCTTCCAGGACTCCGTGATGCCGGAAACCAAGGCGCTTATTACGCAGGTGCGTATTCCTGAAGACCTTCCGTTTCACGGATGTGAGAGAGAAAGAGAGAGAGAGAGAGTGGCACTGATGGAATTCATCTCGCAGGTTCTGCAAAGGATAGAGGACGTGTCCATGATGTGCGACAAAAGGATAATGGCACTAAAGCAGCAGTTGATCAAACCAGCCAGGCCGGTGCAAACCGTCACGCCAGAACCAGTCAAACCCTTGCAATCACTGCCTCAATCCGCGAAACCTGGCAGAGTTCTCAAGAAAGCCAACACCATGCCAAAGGTATTATCTCTCTCTTTCGTGCTTATGAACGTATTTATAATAATAAGATTTCTTGGATATTTAACCAAACAAATGGGGATAAGTAATAAAGAGCAAATGAGAGCCGACGCGCCGATGTTGGTTTTATCATAGAACCAAAACATACGTTTGGTTTATCTTCGTATCGATTATTATCAGGGTTGTCTAATGATGACCAGGATTTCTGTTAATATTATTTCTTATTTCTCTTATTCTTTATTGCAAACAGCTCGGCAATGATTTCAGTATTAATGTATTATTTTAATTTATATAAAAAATGTTAACAAGTTAAAACATTTTAAGTGGCTAGTTTAAGTTCAAAATTAACTTATTTAAAATTAACTGAGTTCAGTTAAAAGATATTAATTTTTTAATTTAACTTTTAACTGATTAAAGCTCCTGGGTAGTCGCTGCAACTGTCTTTGTTTGATGACGTCAGAAGCGAGAAAACGCACGTCAAGGATTCTTGCGTTATATGTTCAAATAAAAAGATATACTCATTTTTTTTTTGCATAATTAGCTTTTAACGTTGATAAGTTAATTTAATTCTAACTTGACGTTTAATTTAATTAGTTTTCATTTAGGCATTAGGTACTTCGAATCAACCCAGTTAACTTTCTAGGCCATTAACTTCTAATTTAACTTAGTTACAAATGAAAATTAACTTATCACCCTGATTATTATGCATTATTATAAGTGGGTTAATTCTTTCGCTCACCAACATTAGCGTGTCGGCCATTTCACTTGCCCTTTACCACTTATCCCTACTGCCAAATTCACCTTTAATTTATGTTCAAAGTGGAACCAAAAATTGTAGACTCACTCCGCTATTGTGTCTTGAATTTTACTTTAATTGTAATTATTGTTACTCATACATTTACTCAGATAAGGCGTTAACATCGGAACTAATGCTGCTACCTTGCGTTTTGGGCACGGACTACATAAATTGCACTATATAAATTGATATTATAACTATTTTTTTTCGTCCAATAAAGCCACTACTATTATTATTATTGCTAAACTATATTCATTACTATACAATTAAGCCACCACTATTATTATTATTTGTTTGATCATAATTTACTTAAGTAATATAATATGTAATTAAACTTCAGATTGATATATAATTATATTTAAAGTGCAGTTTTCCGTTGAGAAAGGCCCGGGAAGAGATTGCATTGCACGGGTTTTCATCCAATAAAAGATGACTTGATTTTAGATGGAGATGAGTCCTATAGAGGGAGAATCCTCGTCGCCGGAGAGCGAGCCACGGGACGTTGAAGCCTTGCGCTTGAAGCGCGGCCACGTCCTGGCGGAGCTCGTGGAGACCGAGCGGATCTACGTCGCCGAGCTCGGCTCGATAATCAAAGGCTACAAGATGGAGATGACGAACGAGGCGATGTCGCATCTGATACCCGCGGCGCTGGTCGGCAAGGCGGATGTTCTGTTCGGTAATTTAGAAGATATCTATCTTTTTCACGGGGAGACCTTCCTGAGGGACCTGGAGAACTGCATCTCGAACACTGAGCTCGTCGCCCTGTGCTTTGTCCAAAGGGTGAGCGCACGCGCACGGTGTCACGTGATATCGTATGTTATGACGGTAGTACCTAGATAATAAGAGCCGCAGACTAATTCCACGGTGTGTTGTACGTTTGTAGCGCGAGATGTTCTTTCGACTGTACAGTTATTATTGTCAAAATATCCCGCGCTCGGAGCGGCTGCGCGAGCAGATACAAGGCGAGCCGCAGTTTCTCGCGGCCTGCCAGCAGAGACTCGGCCACAAGCTGCCGCTCGCTGCCTACCTCCTCAAGCCAGTCCAGCGTATTACCAAGTACCAGTTGTTGTTGAAGGATCTGTTAAAGTATAGCGACGAGCCGTCGTGCTGCACCGAGCTGCAGGAGGCGTTGGACTGTATGCTGGTCGTGTTGAAGTGCGTCAACGACAGCATGCATCAGACCGCAATAACGGGTTTCGGAGTAAGCGTCTCTCTTAATATTAAAGCTTCTGTTTTTCCGCCGCAGCCGTCTGAGATCAATGAAGGTCAGAAGCGAGGATACGTACGTTCCGAGATTCTTGCGGGATTCATGCGGGAGGTGTGAAATTTTTTACTTGAACCTTCCCGCCGTCAAACTTACCGGTGGAAAAGTAAAAATCTAGTGATGTAACTGGTTCGTTAGGAACGTACGTTTCTAAAATTATGGCGTTATTTTCAAGGTTATATGCTGATCGGTTATTTTAACGGATGTTCTAAGGCTCGCTTCTCTAAAATTAGATCATTAATCACGTTTGGTGATTTATACTTTTCGCATATTCAGCCATGTTGAAAAATACCAGCTGGGAATTCGTATAGGAAATCCATATGGATTCCTATATGAATTTTCACAAACCATGTAGGTCCTATAAGGATTTCCACACACCATGTTGACACATCATTCTTGTATGGATTTGTATATCCTATATGGATTCACACGAGTTCCATCGGATTTCCGTGGAGATCCACCTGGAAATGTTCAACAGGTAGAGTTACGTGATCACGCGAATAGCGAGAAAGTTCCCATAGAATCGGGAACGACACCCCGAATTCAATGTATTCCGTAAAAATGTCCTCGAGTTTTCTCGCTTCTAACGTCACCAAACGAAAACAACTGCAGTGAGAGACGAGAATTCTTGATCCCGCGGAATCATCGGCCAATCGTAGTCGTATCCTGTCGTGTATTACACATTGCGATTCCGCCCACAGGGAGACCTGACCGCACAGGGTGAATTGTTGTTGCAAGGCTCGTTCAGCGTTTGGAGCAGCAGCAAGCGGGAGCGGCTGCTGCGACTGAAACCGTCTCAGCGACATATTTTCTTATACGAGAAGGCTCTGATATTTTGTAAGCACAGCAAGCCTCAAGCTCACAACAAAGCCACGTATCATTTTAAGAGATATTTGAAGGTACTCCGACACTCTCACTCTCTCTCTCTCTCTCTCAGACCAAAATAACTTGGCCACTCGAAGAAATCATCCCTCTGATCTCGTTCAACGTCCTCGCAGATGTCGCAGATCGGCCTGACGGAATCGGTGAAGGGCGACGCCAGGCGATTCGAGATATGGCTGCAGGGCAGAGCAGAAGTGCACACGATACAGGCGCCCAGTATCGACGTCAAGCAGTCCTGGGTGCGCCAGATCAAAGGCGTCCTGATGTCCCAGCTGGCTGAGCTCAAGGGCAAGCAGAACTCGGCTCTCGGCAAGTCGAATCACAAGTGGGTGACCGGAAAGTACGACAGAGAGCTTATCGTTCTCTCGTATTTTGTATTTTAATTCGGTGCTTTTTCTCTTTCCACCGTAAAGACCGCTGCGACAGACGATCTCGTGGGAGGCGAGCAGCATATCGGGCTCCCTGCGGACGCTGTCCGTCGACGGCAATAGTGTTATCTCGCATATGCCCGACGTGTCGCAGTCCACGGAGGACGACGCAGCATGGAGCTCGGAGAACAGCAACACAGACGAGGAGGACGCGTTTGCCGACAGTCCGGGACCCGCACCCGTGAGTCTTTGCATATCAGTCCGACGTTTTCCTCTGGCGAGGCAAACTTTTCGCATCAAGAACTATACGTGCTATATTATATGTTATATTACGATTAAAAAAATATATATTTTATAGTTTTTATATGTGATATGTATCAAGTATGCAAATTAATTCGGTGCCTTTCCTCGCAAAATTCAAAAGTTATTCACGAGAGATCGAATATAAGTCCGATGTTCGAAATAATCTCCGTTATTTTCGATGACTTTGTCCCCGAACAGCTGATGAATACCCTAATTTGGTGGTTTTGAAACGATAAAATCTTCAAGATTTTTTCGGACCTCTTCCAGTGTCTTGAAATCTGTCGGCCAAGTGATGTTAGAACGCCCGGAACGCGTGATAATCCGACGGGGTTAGATGAAGTGAATAAGCCGGATCCGGGAGATTTCCCAGCTCAAATATAACATCTTTCATTCCTTTTGCATGTGGTCGTGCTACAAAATGGCTGTTGCGGATCGAGCAAAGCTCGACCGCCGGGTTGCAGCGCGACAGGCGAGATAGTCTCGCGCGTGCTGGACCTTCGCCGCCGTAGCTAGCGGCGCGCCGCTCGGGTGATCAGCCCGCAAGCGAGATCGCTCGCTGGTGACTATATAAGAGCGCTCGGAGAGCCTGTTCCGGTCTGCCGTAGCGCTCAGGTCGACAGAACAATGAGCATACGTGTAGCGAGTCTTTTCGAGTGTGTGTGTCTTTCGGGTCCTTGTTGGTGATTTTAACCCTTCCTGGAGTGTACTTGCGTTCGGTACGGATCCCCCACCGTTCATTACAACTCAGTGTTTTCGCGAAGCTTGGCAACTCGTCTCTAGGCACGGGGTAATCCGGGGTCTCCAATATCTACCTTCGGGGTTGAGGGGACATTTCCGGAGCGCTCGGTCGCCGACGACGGGGAAGACCTTCTTCGCGGAGCACAGAGAGTCGCTTTCGGAGCAAGTCCGACTCACATCGTCGACATCGTGTGTCACTAATAACCACCACACCCAGTCTGTTGTCACAAGAGCGGCGGACAGCCAATCACCGTCAGCAATGTGGGTCACTGACGAGACATACGCCGACGGCAAGGCCGAGGTCGTTACGAGACCCTGTTGTTGTAGTACACCTTTGCCCTTAGGCACCTCGCCGGCCAAGGGTGGGTCACTGGCGGCACCCCTCTCGGTCCAACGAAGGACTCAGCGTTCGGGGCAGGGGAAGTCTCTCCTCCTCGCAGCACCGTGCGTGCGTCAGAGGGTCCGAAAGGGCCCCCCTTAGATGACAACAGGTCATCAGGAGCAGCGTAGCTCCACTCCGCCCGGAGGGGCGGGGGGGAACCCGGCGTCAGGCCACCTTCCAAAAGGGCATTTCGCGCACTAGCGCTTCATATCGAGCCTCGTACAGGCATCGTGGGCGAAGGGACCGAGCCCCTTCGTCGCGCCATTCCGCGTTAGCACGCTCGTGCTTCTCCGCGTCATCCACGAGGGCGACGTTGACCCGGACGAGTCTCCCACGTGGCGTACGGCGCGTGACTGGTCCCGCGCATATCCAACCTCCACCGAATTTAGGCAACTGAATCGGCACTCGCTCCCTCCTCCAAACCTTTCTGAACATTCAAAACAAATGGCTTACCTCGAAAACGATAGTAGTAATAGTAAACCACGCTTGCAAGCCGCAAAGGGGAAGAAAATATTTATATAGAAAATAGATTTATAAGACACCGGATTCATTTGCACACACTTAATATTTTACATATATATTCTTATATTATTATTATAATATATCTTTACAATACAGGATGAGGAAATAGCTATTACCACCTTGAATATCTTCGACCGATAAAAATATTTTCTTAACGACTAGATGAAGATGAAAAAAAAAGTTTACATTTACAGAGGATGAAATGATGATGACCATTGGTATCAATGTAATTTCCATTGGATAAGTTCCCCTTCTACTTTCTCATATCTCGAAAATAACGCTTGATTTGAAATTTTCACGATATGCGTGACCTTACGTACGGACCTGCATGCTAATAATTATTTCGCGACTACAGGGCGGCAGGTACGTGGCGTTGGCTGATTACTGCGCGGTGGGTCAGTCGGAGGTGACGATGCGCGAGGGCGACACGCTGGAACTCCTCAAGGTGGGCTGCGCCGGCTGGTGGTTCGTGAAGTTGGTCGGCACCGGTGTGGAGGGTTGGGCGCCGGCGGCCTACCTCGAGCCGATCAGTCGTAAGACGTCCCGCAGCTCGCAGTCGGTCAACAGTCAGGAGACCATATGAAACAGGCGACTAACACACTAGAGAGCCCGCTAGTGTGTTAGGTTTTCGATACACATCTCGTCCCACGAAAGAGAGAGAGAGAATGAACAGGAAGAAGAGGAGAGGAGGAGTCGTGGAAGTCATCATCATGCCGGCGAAATTCACTGAAGAGGCTCGTCGTCATCGATGAAAGAGAAAGGCGAGAGAGAGACGAGAGAGTCGGCCGGCGATGTGTCGGCGACGGCATTTTTTGGAAATCTTTTACAGCATTCGCACGACGTTGAGTTTCGCGTCATCCTGCGTATCTTTACTTGTACAACACAGCGTATACACGTATATACAATGTCCGAGCGACGCTTTTACATTTTGCGACGCGACACGAGCGTCGAATTGAACGACGGGCCAAGATTTTTACGTTTGTGCGAATTTTATACCGACGCGCGCATATACGGAGAGGCGAAACGGGACGGAGAGGAAAAGCTTCGTGGTTTCACTAGTGATCTTTATACTGTATATTCTGGAATGCCAGGTGCCGCGTTAAGAAACCAGTCACCGAAGGGATAGGTGGATCAAGTATTATTTGTCTCTCTATTTCGTGATTTCTCGACGATTGGTCGACGATTTTTCCGTGATCTTTTCTAAACATCCGCATGTACTTTGTTGGTTGCAAAAAGTGATATTTGAATAGTATTGTTCGTAATTTTACAACTTTTTTATGATACAGGATTTTGCCAACTATTGCTTGTCTTTTTCTTTTCCAATAATATATTTTTACTAATTACGGGGGTTACGAGTGCGATATTTCGAATAAGCTGATGTCTTCAATTCGAATAGTACGAAAGTAGAGAAAGATAATACTGGACGGAGCGTGAAATCGATATCTACCAATCACGCGCGAAGATTGCTCGTGCGCGCGCGTAAAACCTTATCCCGGTGCGTCGTCACAAAGCTATGAGTACCTCGCATTCCATTATAGAATTTCACTTAGTAACACAAGTCGACACATGAATCCTTTCGTCTTTGCTTTATATTCAATGAGTAACCAAGATGGAATGATGCTTGTATCGGCTCGTCTAAAACGTGATCCACAATGGGCAATAGGAGTATGTTTGTAAGAAGTAAAAGTGAGAGATCATTCAATCATAGTCGATCGTTCTCCTTACATTCGATTGGTCAATTGATTGGTCAATTTCTTATTCCTACTTCTTACAAACATATTCCTACCGCCCACTGTAGGCCACGTTTAACTAAATAGAAAGCGCCCAGTGCAGAGCTCACTGTGCTTCACGATCGCGTTCAGGCTTGGGACGAGCCCTCTCGTGGCGCGGAGAACGCGGCGCAGATGGCATTTACTGAATTGTACAAAATACGTAGCGTCGAACCGAGTATCGAGGAAGGTACGCGTGAACGACTCAGGAGACCTCGCGGTCTCGATCACTACTCCTCTGCTACGGAGAATATTATACAAGTTTCTACACGACGTTAGCGCACGCTACGATCGAGAACCAGGGGAGGAGAGGCTGGAGTTACACATGACGTGTGACGTCAGACTGACAGTGCCGCCCCCCCCCCCCCCCCCCCCC